CCCCCCCCATGGGCCTTAGCCCTCTTGTTTCTCTGAGGGCTAGGAGCCCGGTTTTGTAGGTCAGTGGGAGGCCCTGGACATGCCTCTTGTCTGCGTCTGTGGACGAGGTGGGTGACAGCAGTATGCTCCGTGGAGTGTGAAGTGCAGGGTGTCCACGGGCCAGTGGCCACGTTGCTCTCCTGCTCCTCTGGGGCTTTGCTCTCCCCTCATGTGAATTCCCCCTCCCGGAGTTTGCCCTCCACTTCCCGCCACGTGCTGGCTGTCTCGTGAACGTGCACGGACTCTGAATATTAGCTACATTAGCCTTTTGTGGCAAATAGGCAAACAGGTTCTTTTTTTTTCTTTCCTCATTTTCAAACGGGCCAAGAAAAGCTGACTTTCTTGGTCTCTGTAAACGTTTTGTTTCATCCCCTCCGTCTGCCCGGTTTGTTTTTGTTGGCCCCTAAGAGCCAGACTTATCACACGAGACCCATTGTGCTTCAAGGAGCTTCTCCCCTGGTCACCCAGCGCTGGCTGGCAGTCTGTCTCCAGCAAGTGGCTTGTCTGTGGGGAAACGTCAGTTCGGCAGCTCAACTGGAAGGAAGAGCAGCCAGGGAACAGCCCAAGACGTTCGTTCGGAGTCTTCTAAAGGAAACAAGTGGGCCTCTCGGGTCCCAGTGGTTCTCAGAATTGCCCACAGATCTTTTGGCTTGGATGGTTCTGACAGATGGAGGCGTGTGGCCACCCTGCGTCCAGCAAGTCTTCTGGCGTGTGTCCCGCTAGCGGTGCTCACGCTCCTGTTGTCGAGTCATGTGTTCACCTTGCCGCTGCACACTTCCAATGACCAGAACTAAACCCACTGCCCGCCAGTCCATCCCAACTCATCAAACCCATGCCACCCCACCCTACCGGGTGCTCTGGGCTTTACCTCAGCTTCCCCTGCAGCCCTTGGACTGTGGGCTGGAACTCACCAGGTGACTGCTGGTGGACTTTGGACCTCGGACTTCCTGGCTTCGTTATGACGTGTTCATTGGCAAGCATGGCTGTGCCGTTGGAGGGAATGTTACTGAAAGGTTCCCCCTGTCTCCCCAGGAGTCTCTGGATGGGCCCAAGCCAGCTGGGCTGGCTTCCTGGCCCTGCCCACATCTTTCTCAGCATTTGCACGTGCTGGCACACCTGTCACTAGGACCTGCCGACGTAGGCTGCAGCCCTGTCACTACAACATCGCAGCCTTTGGCTGTGCATGGCCTGTTCGAGCCGTCTGTCTCCCCTTCCAGTGGCCTGTCTTCTGAAGACCACCCCAGGAGCACAGCAAGTCACCAAGGGTACCCCACCCCCCACCCCAGTGAGGCCCCCCCTTGGGTTCCTGAGGCTGTCCATGTTTACGGGTGCAGAAAGCCTCACTTTCTCCCGTGGAGAGCCGCTGCTGGGTCTGAACTGCTGACCTTGCTGTTAGCACGTAACCCAGCAGAGCTGGTCTGACTTCTTTCCTGAGCCAGGCAGCTGGCTGCAGTGGGTGCCGATCCTGGCTTGTGGGTGTAGCAGGAGCAGGGGGCCTGTCTGGGTGCCATGGTGGGGACAGCGGCGTGTCCTGGAAGGTGGACTGCTCAGTGGGAATTTGCTTGTTTACTAATACTCAGCACTTGCGAATTGGCTTCTTTGTTTTAAACAGATTTCCCAAAATAGAACACAAGCCCCCTAAAAAACGGGGCGGGGGCGAGGAACAGGTGGGGGACAGCATGGACTTATGTTTGCTTGTCTCACAGAATTTGGGGTGGTGCCTGACAATGCCCGGGGTGCAGCACGGTGTTGTTAGGTGCTCCGCACAGCTAATGGGGAGTGGGGGCGGTGGCGTGCACCAGCAACGGGTGTTGTTAGGTGCTCCGCACAGCTAACGGGGAGTGGGGGCGGTGGCGTGCACCAGCAACGGGGAATTGGCAGAGCTGTAGGAGCAGCCGGTAGCTCAGGGGTTGGGGTCTGTGGG